ATAATAAGTTAGGATAGTCGAACTGCTATGGATAGGGGGTCGAGAATTGTTGGTGTATGTGGAGGGTCATGGGTGGGAATTTAAAATTTTTTATTTTTTTTGCTTTTCGGTTACTGATCGCCATTTGTTTCCGCCTATTTGCAGAATTATTTCAATATCAATGCCTGATTCTTATGAATGTAATTGAAGAGGGAAAGATGTAAAGTAATAATAATAGTTTGGAAATTTCGGGTGTCGATGTTAGTATTAATTGGTTAGATTTATTTCGAGTAATATTTAACAGATAATAAATGTGTGTATAGGTTACTTAATTGAGTAGGTAGCATAATTATTTATTTATTAGGCCATTAAATTATTTTAGTCGAGAAATTGACAAAACTGGGAAAGAACTTCAAATAAATTAGTACGAGTTAATTTTGTAATGACTGGTTTCGAAAATTAAAACGAATGGGGGATAGAATTTATGTATGTGCGTGTGTGTCCATTTACTACATTCATTGGTAGATGCATGGACGTACTTGCCTGTAGAATTTTTTGTGTGGATTTTGTTTGACTAAGAGTATAAGGTAACTGTAGACTTAAAGAGTCATCTGATAGTAACAATATAACGAATTTTTTTTTCTAGAAAGTGCTAGTGTAGGATAGATTTGAGTTGGGATACGTGTGTAGATTTAGTTAAAGAGTTATTAGTGCTATGGGATTAGTATTTAAAACGTAAAACATTGGATTAAACTATGCAATAAAGAGACCAGCTCACCTCGTTATTGATTCCGGAAGTAGTAGACCAAAGCCAAACCGGAAGAACTAAAAAGACAACACTATATAGGAGGTGGGGGGGGGGTGAAAAGCCTTGTTTTTCATTGGCTGACATATGTTAATATGTACGGCTGAAATCCAAGCGTGGTGGTGGTGGTGGTGGTGGTGGTAGTAGTAGTAGTAGTAGTAGTAGTAGTAGTAGTAGTAATAATAATAATAATAATAATAATAATAATAAAAAATTGTTCTGACAAGTACAGCCCACACCTTACGAAGGGCTTTATCTATGTAATTTAATTTAGTTTTTTTTTTTTTTTGTCAGTGGAAAGTGTCATGACGCCATTTCTAACCTTAGGTCCCTGGGAGGGACCCGGAAAGAAATGTGTAAACTCCAGAAATCAAAGAAAATAATAATAATAATAATGATGTTGATGTTGTTGCTGCAGTGGGGCGGTGTGTAGCCCGACGCTTTCAAGGAGGTGGCCTGATTCGTCTTGAATCAGGAGGGGTTCCTGTTGGAGCCGATATGATGCACAAAACTCTAAACCGACGATGAGTACAGTGCATCACTGAATCCCACCCTTGGTGCATCTAACATGTATTATGCAACTATAAACGCTAGTATTAAGAGTGACGACTGGGAACAGACCAATTGGCAACCAGGGAATACACCCGGTGACGATTGGAAAAACAGTTGGCATCCCGGAAAGACGGATAATGGGACAGGACGAATTAGCTACCCAACTTGCATTCTCCGCGAGGAACAACCCCAAAATGCTGCGACGTACCTAAATGCATCATGCACCCGGGGGAACCCGAGAGGTAATGGAAAAATGGTTATCCCCATTTTACTGTTCCAGAAAGTAGCTGACTCCTGTCATGCTCTATCGTTACGAGGGCCAGATCAGACCAATAATGGAGTAATGTTGTCATATGTAGGCTGGAGCTGTTGTCAATTTCTCTCTTTCTAGCTTTGACAGAGTTCAAAAGTGTTTATGCTGTAGGTAATGAATTATTTCCCACTCTACAACCACTTTCCTCACAGACAACATAGTAAGCATCTCTTTATACTTTTGGTATTTCCACGAAAAAATATTCTGACAATTCCTTTGTTTTCCACTGTTAAGAAGAACGTTTCATTCAGACAGCTTCTTTCCAAAAGCTGCTACTTAATGAAACAGCCTCCCAAGAAGATGCCACTTGCATTATTTACATTGTTATCCTCATCAAAAAATAAATAAATAAAAATAAACCACGATTAAGACGCACACGATCACGGTGTAAAAAAAAACAATTTTTTTGTGGCCACCTGTTGGTTTTGGATCATGAATATATTTCAGAAACTTTCGCCTTGATTAAATATTTTATAATTTTATTCAGCCTTTATCTAATTAGTTTAACATCTACCAGTGTAGAATTAGTACAGGGAAAAAAAAGTGCGTGTGCGGATGATGATCAGTGTCACTCATAATCATACCCCTACTCAAAACTGCCAGGATTTTTATTTATAGTAAAAAAAAAATGGATATTATCTACAGTTTGTACACACATTGAAATTAATGTGTGACAGTTCAAAAATAAGCGAAATATATATTATTATTTACATTATTCAAACTGTTATCTTCATCTTCATTGTCATATTCACAACGTTTCGACCGTTGAACGCTACAGCCTTCTTCAGCTGATTAATTTCGAACCCAACACTTTATTTCGTCCACCGGGGTAGATAGTTCTAGTTCCACGTGCCACGCCGCTTCCGGATGTCTCGGTTATTTTTCTTTAAGTAAACTCTCCACGTTTTTAGTTCACCACTTCTGTGGCCTGGTATTGAATACACAGCTCTTTGGGTCTAGTCATTGGATCTAACCAACATCTTTATCCACAGGGCCATGTGTCCTTGAGCAAGTAATTATAACATCTCATTTCAGAGATATAGACAGACGTTTTAAGTCACATCAACATTTACCTATTGCACGTATCCTCATAATCAACGCATACTTCCTCTTTCTTCATATACACAACCACGTATAGTAACCCTAACTTGAGTGGCTCCTGGGCATTAAATTAGATTTAAATTTAGAAACAAATTGTAAAAGTAGGTCATTTATGTTGAGTTTTATAAAAATTGTAATTAAAACAAAACAAACTATGAATACGTAAAATGTTAGTCATACTCTTTGTTAAAATTGTATAGTAATTGGCCATAGTCAACTGTAATGAACAAAAATGACCAATAAACAGAATTGAAAAAGTTTGCCATAAACAATAACAAAAGAACAAGGTAAAATAACAGAGATCAAACAATATATGTAAGGCGAAATAAAAGCAATAAGGCAAAGCAATAGTAAGTGAATGTGACAAGTTCAAATTCCAGTCGAATCCATTGCATTCACTTAGGTGCTAATACCCTGGGGAAAGGTATGAATCCTCTTCTCCCCCACCCAGCTATGGCAGGACATACCGGGTTCTATAGCCTTGGATTGCGACTGGTCTGCCGCAGAAAGAAATGGTAATCTACTGCGGGGAAAAAAATCTGCCGCGTCAATCATGTATCGAAAGATACATGATCGCCTAAGCCTGTATCACGCATGGCACATAACTAACTGACCTACTTTCCAGTCGAATCTATTACATTCATTTACGTGCTAATACCCCTGCGAAAGGTATGAATCCTCTTCTCTCCCCCGCCCCAGCTATGGGTAAATCTAGGACAGACCGGGTTCTATAGTTTTGGATGACAACTGGTCTACCGCAGAAAGAAATGGCAACCTGCTGCGGGAAAAAATATGCCTCGCCAGTCATGTATCGAAAGATACATGATCGCCCAAGCCTCTATCTGGCATGGCACAAAACTGACTGAAGAGTAATAATGCAAAGCAACAATAATAAGGCCAAATGTTGAAACTAAAAACGCAAAAGGGGATCCAGACAAGCGATCACAGCTTTCTGGTTTCAAGACAAGAAAGAACTGAACCGAGTCGGATGAGACCCAGAAGTGACCTATCTTATTGGCTAAGAAGAAATCCCAGTATGAATCTGGATGTTTTGTCTATAAATTTGGAGAGGAGGAACATTTTTGCAGACATTCCAATATCGACAGGAACCAACATCGATGAATAAGCTTTCAATACCCCACCCGCTCTGCAAAATGCCATATCCTTCTTTAGGACATGAATGACGTGAGTGACCATCCTTAGGTTAGTGAAGTAGTTTAAAGTTGCCTTCTCCAATGTTTTGAAGTCAGAGATGGCATTATCCTCGACTGTCAATGCAAGCCAGTCTACCCTATAAATTTGACTCATTTTTTTTTAATTTATAAAATAAAAATAGTCATTATTCAATGTCTAATGGATGTCAGTTATCAGTTATTTCCTGTTAATTCCCCTCTCCAAGTTCTCCACTGCCTTAACCGGGTATTGAACTCACACTCTTTGGGTCCTTTGGAGAGGGGAATTAACAGGAGATAACTGATAACTGACATCCATTAAACATGGCACGTGGAACTAGAACAGTCTATCCCAGTGAGCGAAATAAAGGGTTCAGTTCGACATTCCAACCACCTGAAGAAGGCCGGAGCGTACAGCAGCTGAAGCGTTGTCATAAATATGGCGACAAAGATGAGGACAATAGTCCGAAGAATGTAAATAGTTTACATAATACCTCATCTCAGAAATATAGACAGTCTGGATAAACGCTAATATAAGCAGATGATGTTTCTCTTTTTGAATAAGCTCTGCACTGGGCTGACTGGTTTGATTATCAAGATTTAACATAACTTGATAGAGTATGGGATTTTTTTTTACAATGACGTTCACGTTGGACAAGGCCCAAGAGCCACTCGAGGTAGAGGATTACAGAGTAAGAGACATATTGAGATTACTAGACTTGAACAGGTTAAGATTGTAGTGATGAGGAAAGTTTAGAGTTGGAAATCAGAACCACATAGCAGTTTGTGAGAAGCTGCTGCTCAAGTGGAATGTACATCTGACTAATAGAATTCGGTGGGAATGAGGATGGTTCGATACAATCTACGTGGTATGATGAGTCTTTGCTGTGAAGGCTAGAACTGGTAGAACTAAGAAACGTAGTTCGTCTGAACACTTAACCTTGAAATAGCGATAGAGCAGCTTGCGATATTTTGTCTGTGAGAAAGAGGTTGTAGGGCGGGAAATAATTTGTCACACACAAGGATGCAGAGACACTGTTGGACTATCAAAACTGGAAAGGAGAGATATAGATAAAGATTAGAGAGAGAGAGAGAGAGAGAGAGAGAAAGAAAGAGGGAGGGAGGGAGAGAAAGAAAGAAAGAAAGAAAGAAAGAAAGAAAAAGAAAAAAGCAAGATATTTTGTCTGTGAGAAAGGGATTGTAGGACGGGAAATAATTTGTCAGACACAAGGATGCAGAGACACTTTTGGACTATCAAAACTGGAAAGGAGAGATATAGATAAAGATGAGAGAGAGAGAGAGAGAGAGAGAGAGAGAGAGAGAAAGACAAAGAAAAAGCAAGATATCATAAGTCATAGAATGTGAAACGGGAAAATTCCTACCTGTAAATTTTTTTTAATTAATTATTTCCTCCCAATGAAAGACAACAATGCCACCAAGACGCAAGATGTTACTGAGTGAAAGAAAATAAAACATTACTAAGGAGAAAGGACAATAAAAGACAGGATTCAAGAAGACAGAAGATGATACCTAAAATTGCATTGATATTTTTGAAGATCATTGATCGTAAGAAGCGAGAAACCGGATAAGAATTCCATAAACAAGAACAAGAGAAGAAACTATTAGCGTAGAACTTGCGATTGCATCTAATTATTTCAATATTAAAATGATGATACCTACTTAACCATCTAGTAATACGCTTTAATTAATGCAGTCAAGTTACCAACGAGGAATGCTTCTTGGAACAATTATGATGAAAATATTTGTAAATACACAATAAGCCACTTACTGGACAGAAACAATAATATTACAGACCCTTCTTTGGATTTTGTTGAGAATCTCAAGATATATAACAGGAGGTGTTGGGAATAGTCTACCCAGGTTTCTGTTGCTATCTGAGTGTCTAGATTCCAAACATTTAACAACACATCTTTTAAATAAAAATATATAAAAGGTTATTTTCTGGAGGTAAAGTAGAAGCAAAATGTCTGTTGAAATAACATTTATATAATTCTTTTCAGAAATATACAATAGCAATAAAATATTCAATTTCCCTGCAATGAAGTTTATTTTATGAAGTAAATGTTCTTAAGTGATGTGAAATGTGTCGACAGACTTATTTCATGAAGGTCAGCCTAATGTGTTTGGGAGTGCGTAGACAAAGGCTTACTAGGCTGTTTCTGGCTTATCTTTTCTAGTGTGTGTGTGGACAAGGCCTTAGTTGGCAGCAGCTGCCTGTCTGTCTTCCATTGTGTTCTTGTGCAGTGTGTGTACGTTTAGATAAAACAGGCCTGCGAAATTATTGTGAGCCTCGAAGAGTAGTATGCTTCTATTTTTATATCTTTAAGGTAATTCAAAATCTAATTTCACATAGGTGCGAACTTTTTGAACACAAGCTTTTCATTAGTTAGAAAATAATTTCACACTGGCTCAAGAAAATCTTTTTCGAAATTGCAGGAATGGTGGAGATTTATTTTCTAAATGGTACAAAAATAAGACATGGGAGGTCTACAAGTACGTCTGAAAGTATTTTGGTGGTATTTGCTCTTGTAATGAGTGTTTATCAAATCAGATTTTCTTGGTTTCACACATTATTATTGTTTCCCAAGGATTAGTATTAGCCATGTTGATAGAAGGCAAAATAAAGTGTTTATTTCGAAATTCCATGAAGGTTACCAAGATCAGCAAACAGGTGAAGGCTGGAAGGTGGTACGAACGAAAGAAAAGAAGAAGAAAGAAAAAAAAGAAAGAAAAGAAATAAAGAAAAGAAAGAAAAGAAGGAAGAAAAACGAACAGGAAGAAAAAAGAAAAGGAAGAAAAAAGAAAAGGAAGAAAAAAAAAGAAAGAAAAGAAGGAGAAAGAAAAGAAGAAGAAGAAAGAGAATAAGTAAGAAAAGAAGAAGAAGAAAGAAAAGAAGAAAAGGAAGAAAAAAGAAAAGGAAGAAAAAATAAAGAAAAAAGAAGAAAGACAAGTAGAAGAAAGAGTAGAGAGAAAAGAAGAAAAAGAAGAAAAGATCAAAAAAGAAAAGGAAAGGAAGAAAAGGAAAAAAAAAAGAAGAAAAAAGAAGAAGAAAAAAAGAAGAAAAAAATTCAAAAGAAAGAAAGAAAGAAAAGAAAAGGAAGAAAAAAGAAAAGGAAGAAAAAGAAAGAAAAAAGAAGACAAGAAGAAGAAGAAAGAGAAGAGAGAAAAGAAGAAAAAGAAGAAAAGAGAAAAGGAAGAAAAAAGAAAAAGAAGAAAAAAGAAAGAAAAAAGAATAAGGAAACGAAAAGAAGAAAGAAAAGAAGAAAGATAAGAAGAAAGAAGAGGAAAGAAAAGAAGAGGAAAGAAGAAGAAAAGAAAAAGACAGAAAAGAAAGAAAGAGAAGAAAGATGATGAAGTACTACTACATCAAAAGACACATTTATTCCCATGTTAATTATCGAATCATTCCAAAAGAACAATCTACCTAGGTGGACAAAGTCATGGGTTCAGTTCGAAATTCCATGTCACTTGATGAAGGCCAGAGCGTACAACGGCCGAAACGTCGTTTATATGACAATAAAGATAAGGACAAAAGTCCAAACAATGTAAATAATGTAAGAAGTGTAAATAATATATTGATTAGTTCACATATAGTTTTAATTCTGTTTTTCAGCCGGTAGTTTTTTTTGACAATATATTTTTTGACTCATTAAATTCATCCTATTTTTATTGCTTTTTTTTTACTACAACTTCCAGAATGTCACTTCATGTCTGGAAATAATAAGCTACCGTCAGGATTCAAACTCATTTTTTTTTAAATCAATTCACCTTAAGCAAGGCGATAATGCCACTAAGACGCAAGGGGTTATTGAGAGTGAAAGAGAATGAAGTCTTTAAAAAGAAACCAGAAACCGAATCCTAAACAGGAAATAAGGGATAAAACTACTCCTGTTCGAAAAACGAGGAGTGCAAACCGGACAATAGGCGAACCTATCTGCTCCTAATGAAGAAAAATAAATAAATAAATAATAAAATTTTAGAGTTCAGACATTTGAAGTAGATTTTAGAAGGAAGTAGAAACGAGATAAACCTCTACTACTACAATTCAAAAGACTGTGGAGCAAAGTGAACCGGACAATCAGAAAACCTATCTACTTCTATTATCATTTATCCTCAAGACAGCTGCTTTACCATTTCGGCTACAAAGAATACTCAAGCTATATAATATTATTCTCTCCAGAAAATTCCTGATGTTCTTAATCTTTGTTCACTTAAAATAAATAGCAGTAGAGCCCAGCGTTGCTCGGGGATGTAACAGTAAGAGATAGATCAAGTATCGACCATCATAAAGACTGAAAAATAAAATTGACAAAGATTATTGTTTAAGGTTGACGGACAAGCATGTCTTAATTATTTTATTTTTTTTTTTTTACTTTTTTGTTTGTTTTTTGTTTTTTACGAATTGGTCAAACCCAAACTCAAACAAAAGCATTGTTTTCAATCGTTATGAGTCTACCGATTGAATAGAATTTTATTATAAACAATTGTGTCTTGTTAATGGAATTTTAAAGCATTCTGAATGTAAAAATAAAAAAAAATTATATTTATTAGACAATAAGAAACACTACCTGCCAAAAAAAAAAAGTGAAGTTTTGTTGAAATCGGTTGAAAAATTTAGGAAATTTTTGATCCCATATATAAAATACACACACACACACACACACACACACACACACACACACAACACACAAACAACCTGGGTTTTTATAATAAGTATGATATTTGTATTAATATTAACGCGGAAAATGCCAGTTAAAAAGGAATGGAATAACAGAGGCTTACCCGATATTTCAGACCTTTAATCAATTTCTTAGACTTCCATGGAAACTCCAAAAATGAAGATATCCTAAAAATAAAGATAGAAAAATGTTAGATGGCCATAAATAGAAAAATTAGTGAAAATACAAAAGTAAGAAAAATTCTCACAGAAAAAAGAAAGAGAAAAGGAAAAAAAGAAACGAAGCTAAATCGCTACTTGCTGCTCGAATGAAGGAACGTATTGCATCCCGCAAATTCGACTCCAAGGATTATTGGCGTCTCTGCAAGAACGTACTAAACCCTCTATACGTAGCAAACCCTCTATACCTCCTTTGTTCTACCAGTTTGAAGTTCTCACCTCCTCTGCCGACAAGGCTGAATGCTTTGCTCGGAAATTTTCATTCAATTCAACGCTCGACTCTTCCGGTGTACCCATACCCGATTTCCCTCTTAGAACTGAGGCCCTATTGAGCGACTTGCACATAACCCCGTCATTGGTATTGGGCATTATCTCTAATTTAGACCCCCACAAGGCTAGTGGTGGAGATGGGATACCAGCCATTGTCTTGAAGAAATGTGCGCCTGAACTAGCGCCTGCCCTCTCCAAATTATACAACTACTGCCTCAAGAAATCTTGCTTTCCAGACTGCTGGAAGTCCTCATCGATTGTTCCTGTCTTTAAGAACTCTGGCCACCCCTCTGACCTTTCTAATTACCGTCCTATCAGTCTCCTACCCCTCTTCGGCAAAGTTTTCGAAGCTTTAATCAATGCCGAAGTGATTAACCACCTTACATCCCATGATCTGCTCTCAGACAAGCAATATGGTTTCCGCTTTGCCCGATCTACAGCTGATGTGTTTACGGCCATCACTGAAATTATCCTCTAAGCTCTTCAGAATAACGTAGAAGCTCGTGCCGTGGCCCTAGACATCTCTAAAGCGTTTGATAGTGTTTGGCATGCCGGCCTTCTTCGCAAGCGCCAGGGTTACAGTATTACAGGTCGATTGTTTGACTTTCATTTCTGTCAAACCGTGAATTGAAGGTCATTCTCAACGGATTCTCCTCCAGGTCCTATCCCACGAACGCAAGTGTTCCCCAATGCTCCATCCTAGGCCCTACTCTGTTCCTTATCTTCATCAATGATCTTCCTGACGTCATAGATTCCCAAGTAGGCATCTACGCGGACGACACTACAATTTACTCCTTCCTCAAAAACAAATCTAGTGTCGTTGACAAAACTAACCTGACCGTTCGTCTCGAAAAGGACCTCCAATCGATTGTGAACTGGGGCCGTTTTAACGCCACCAAAACAAAACTGCTCTCTATTAATCACCACAGAGAACCTTCCCTGTCCCCCCCCCACCATTAGAATTTCTGACGCTCAACTTCCCGAGAGTGCCTCTCTGCGGCTGCTCGGTCTCACGTTGTTTACAAACCTGAGATGGAACAAATACATTGAGTCAATTGCTTCGTCCACCGCAAGGAAAGTTGGCTCCCTGTGCCTCGCCAGGAAATCTTTCTTCCCGGAATCGATCCTTCAAATATACAAATCAACCATTCGCCCTTTCATGGAGTATTGCTATTATATATGGTCTGGAGCCCCTTCTGTTTGCCTCAGGGTTCTTGATAAGATCCAGAGACGGATATGCAATATAATTGGCCCTAATCTGGCATCTCGTCTGCAGTCGCTCTCTCAGAGACGTGCCGTCGCCTCTCTCTGTCTTTTTTACAAATACTTTCACGGTAATTGCTCCGATTATCTGCTTTCGGTGGTTCCAAGACTTCGCAAATTCAAGCGTCCTTCGAGGCTGGCATCCCGCTCTCACCCTTTCACTGTTGAAACTGTTAAATGTAGCCACCTCTTCTACTCCAATAGCTTCATGTCTCACACCTCTCGCCTGTGGAACTCCCTTCCCTACTCCTGTTTCCCTGATAGCTTTAATCTCCAACTATTCAAATGTAATGTCAACCGACATCTCCGGTTGCCTTGATCTATCCACTATCCTTCTCCTCATCCTTTCCTCTATCATTCCTATCTGCTCTCGCTCCAAATCCTCTGCAACCCCTTGCGAGCTAGTGGCTTCCCGCCTTGCTAGGGGTGAAATGCTTTTTAAAAAAATCAAATTATATTATTAAATAAAAAGAATGGAATAATGGGTCGATGGTGACATATTAACAATTATTTACTTTGTTACTTTAATAATAATATAATAAATCAATTAAAATATTAATTAAAAATATTAACTAAAATATTATTATCCCTCTCTCTGGTGCAATGATAGGATGCAGCTTCGGCATCTGCTCCCCATGGCTGGGCACCTCACAGTGTGATTTTCCTCAGTTGCGCCTCTGTCCTCTGATGGAGCCGCAACTGAGCCGCACTCTGCCCGAAGCCAGAGACGCAACTGAGAGACGATAAATAAACGTGTGAACTATACTTTTTTTTTTATTTATTTCTGATATTACAGAGATTGTGGCACACGGCCGAGGGGGAAAGAGGAAGGGCCTGGCTTTCATTAGCTATCCTAGTTATAGTTAATCTGACTCACGACCAATTCATTAATTACAATTTGCTTATTCACCGCAAGTACTCATTCATCACCTTTCAATCCTGCATACACCACAATACCACATATTCACTGAGGACCTACAAAACACCCCATGACATAAAATTTGAAAGCCCATTTTTAAAAAAATATATATATGTTAAAAATTCATGATTCCTGAAATGATGGGAGGGGGGGTGAACCCAGAAAACAAACTAAAAATGTAACACAAAGATAAAACTAAAACTGAACAATGTTGGTAGGACCCGTTCACACCTCAAACTAAAAAGAGTGGCTGCTGTATTCTGACGATAGAGAGAATCAAGAAGCACACTCTCTAATGGAATGGGAAGAATAAAAATAAATGATAGAATGAGGAAAGTCAAAAGATGACTCAGACGAGATGAAAAATGAGGGACAAAATGAATGTTTGTTTGGATCGTCCTCCAGATCTTCGGACGGTCAGAAAGTTGTTTGGCAGGGTGATTTTAATTGAAGAGTTCAACCACCCTCCGGGCGATCTTCTAACGTCGATGAAAACACTGCATGCCATCATGGAGAATAAACTGAAAATTTCGACGGAAGAGATTGCTAAGAGTTTGAAAACCAATATCTCAATATGCTTTTTGCCATTTCAAGAGACTTTAATCCAAGAAAAACGACCGATTTTGGCAATCAAAAAGGTGTCATTATCCACCACGGCAACACAAGACCGCATGTTGCAAAACAAACCTGGCAGAAGCTTAAGTAGTTAAAATGAACACACCCTCCAGCACCCACTTTATGCTTTAGAACTGGCTCATTCCGATTTTCATTTGTTCCGGCATAGGCATCGTTTTTTTTTTTTTTTTTTTTTTTTTAATATTACGCCATGAGTAAAGCCACTAAGACACAATGAGCATGAAAGAGCATGAAGAAAAAAAGGCAAACATTAATAAGGAGTAAAAACAATAGAAGAGTAATCAAGAAGAAATTGCATTTATATTTTTGAAGATCAAAGTTGGCTGGAAAGCATGGAACCGGAAGGGAGTTCCCCAAGCAGGAAGTGCAGTAAAATAGACTGTTAGCATAAAACTTAGTTACATGAAATTTTGAAATCTAGGTGGTCCTGTAGTTTTCCTTCTAAGTCTGCCATCAGTATAAAGGAAAACAAAAAAATAAGTAATTTTGATGCAAATTGCATAATCAAAGTTTTAGTTTTTCTTAGTACTAATTACTGACTATACATTTACTCTGCCACTTTCTTAATTAGTCATTTTCTGATCAAACTAAATAATTGTCCGGACACAAAGTTCTATTAAAGAAATCTATTTTCAATTTTCTTTACTTTTTTCATCAGTTTTGGTATACAATTTATTGTACATAAAGACAGAAAAAGAATGCCAATGGCTTGAATTTAATTGAA